TTTACAGGTCAAGTGCTCTTTAGGACAACAATTATACACATAGCAAATATGCAAAAAAAAAAAAAAAAAGTCAATCTGTATCCCCATGCCCATTTTAGAAATGGCAACGTTGGGGAGTGGCCGGCAGCCGGTAAAGATGGCCACGTGAGCGGCACATCCAGCCTTTCTACAACAACAAAGGGCAGCTATCATCTTCCCCACTAACACCCAACATCTACTGCCTATCTCAGCACCACTATGGGCAAAAGAAAACTGGGAGCCGGCCCCCGCAAGCTGACAAAGTTCTTCATGTCAGCCAGCATGCCGCTCTCTCAAGTTGGCGCCATGGCCTCCAGCCATCTCCGCAGTTCTCCATGCTGCTCTCATGGCAGCATCCCAGGAACACACAGGACTGGCTCCCCAGTTCAGAGCAGTAGCAACTGCTCAACTCTGGACATCACACCTAGCAACAGAATTCATGAAACAAATTCATGATTTCCCCACCGCTGGTCAGCCAATTAGCGACACCACTATGCTTGTGTCCACAATATCTACAAGGAAAAGTGCCGTGGGATGTTATAGCCTGCATACACTTTTTTCATGTCAAGGATGACCTCATGAGATTTGCCCGGCAACACTCTTCATTGCCTGACCCTTATGCAAGGATCTCAGTCTATGCTGGCCTATTCCAACATACCATCATGGCATGCAAGAAATTGGTACCCCTTACCAAACTTCTTTGCAACAGTAAATTTTGTTACTCATAAGGATTCACCACCAAACTACTCATTACAAAAGATGACCTACAGATCACATCCTTTGAAGATGGCCTAAAATTAATAAAAAATGAGGCTTGATACCAAATGATAACAGTGCAGAACAACATAAAACATCCGCAGGGAGACTAACAACTGCATGGAAACAAGTACTGTATATGCTACCTGAAATAATCCATATTCACTTTCCAGTATATACCAAGAGGGCTATTAGATGAATCTCATTCATAATGGAGGTGCTGGTTGTATGGAGTTATAACTCGCCGTTACAATACTGCAAATATACTCGTAAGTTGAACTTTCCTTTTCAAGTTTTTTAAGTGAAAGTAGGTAGGTGGTCTTTTTCCTTTTCCTTGGGGGCCCCCTCAAGATACCAACGGTCACACCTGGACACAGCTACGAGATCTCGGAAAGTGAATGCACTCAAATCACCTCAGTTGCGATTGCAAACACTTCAGTTTTATTGGCATAACATCAGGGTATTATACTGTAGTCTTTAGGCAAACACACCCTCAGACCATCCAATTAAATACATGTACATTGTTTTACTTTAACTCAACAATTATTTGTATGAGGTTTGCATTTTCACTCTTCTGCTTTATCTATCATACCATATCTGCTCTATCGCCCAGACCATGGCTGTAATCTGACCCAACGCCCAGACCATGGCTGTAATCTGACCTAACACCCAAATTGTGGTTAAAACTTTTCAGAAGTGAGAGTAAACCTTATCTGCTTTTTTGTAGAGTTTGCAAAAAACACTCATTTCTACATAAAGCTGACATAGACAGTTTTGTTAGTGTGCACATATCTCATATATGTATATTAAACTAGCATCTTGTATTAGTGTATACAAAATGGATTCAGTTATATTCCATTTAATCCTTTCATTAAGTTTATTATGTTTCTCTGTTCTTGACTCTTTTGTTTTTTTTTTCTTATGCCACCTGACCATCACACTGGATCCTTCGATAGAATATATCTGAACTTTGCTGCATGCTGTTACACACTGAAAAACCTTCTACATCCAATATCTACAAATACATATTTCACTAGCACAAAACGTGCTTCATCCTATCATATTACTTATTCTTTACTATGGTGCTTAAAATAGTGTCAATGAATGCTCATGGACTCAACAGACCCTAAAAAAGGAGAGCAATATGGCAGGAAATACAGATATTAAAGGGGGAGATTCTGTGCCAGGAAATGTGTTTTGCAGAACAAAAACAACCTAAGTGCTCCGATAAACTCTTTTCCCCATGTGTTTAAGGCATCAACGAATGTTCAAAAAATGTAGTTTTAATTGCCATGAAACACTCTGCGGCCCTCCATCTTCATGAATGTAACGTACACACTGGTTCACCTGTACTCACCTAACTCAAGACAACTATCTTTTCTACACTCCTTGAAGAAATGAGTAGATAAAATAAAAAAGGTTTTCTGCTATATACTGGGGACTTCAACTGTGTGGTGGATGGATCTATAGACTGTTCCTCGTCTTCCTCATCCAACAGAAGTGAACTTTGCCCTTTTTTACAATCTGCGGAACGATACAATATATGGCGGTGTGTCAACTCCACTGAAAAAGACTACACCTATTTCTCTGCTCCTCACCAAGCATATTCTAGAATAGATTTATTTCTGTCTGATCTGCCATTACTCCACAAAATTCTATCTGTTACTATGCACTCTATCACGTGGTCTGACCATGCGCCAATCTAACTTAGCATTAAAGAATACCATAATGTTTCTCCATTACATCTATGGCGCAATAATGTCGCTCTGTTTACCAATCCTAAATATAGGCGCATGCTACATAACCAAATAGACAAATATTTTAGTTTAAATCTAACCCAGAGATTAACATTTTGTTATGATGATGTACCCACAAGGTATATAGTAGGGACTTTTTGCTACAGGCAGCCTCTAGGGCAGTGGGCTCCAAACTGTGGCCTGGAGGCCGGATGTGGCCCTTTGCTTGTCTTTATCCACCCCCTGGGGCACTTATACAAGCAACTATTTCTCTCAATGACAATTGGCCATAATTACTGCCACTGACACCAATGAAGGGGCATTATCTCTCCCACTGACACCAATGATGAGGTATTGTTTGCTCCCACGCTAGGATATTTTCTATTCCCACTGACCACAATCCTGCCCCCCTAAAGCCTGAAGGACAGTAAACTGGCCGCTTGTTTAGAAATGATGCAGATCACTGCTCTAGGGAAAAGAAGCGAAGAAATCAGGTCTTATCTGAGCTTCTATCTAAAATGAACACTTTAGAAACACAACACAAATCTAAACCTTTACCATTGGTGCATACTGAGCTTTTCAATTGCAGACAAGCCCTTCGTCTGCTCCTTATTTCTGAACACCAGAAATCATTGCATAACTTAAAGGCTGTACATTATACACAAGGAAACAGCTGGCAAATTTTTAGCTGCTTATCTTCAAAAAAAGCAGCAATGTACAAAACTGAGCCATATAATTGATGTGGATTCAGGTAAACCTGTCTATCACCCTATTGAAATCACAAATGCCTTCCAAAAATACTACAATAACCTATACAATTTAAAATCGGATTCCTTTACTCCTCAGCTCACACACACTGAAATACTGTATATGATTTCCTCAGATCAGTCAACCTACCTTCTTTGGATATCTCTGTTAGAAAGGTTAAATTCCCCTATTTCTAATCACGAAATCTTAAAAGCTATTTACTTTCTTTCACTAAACATATCACCTGGGGCAGACGGCTTCTCTGCTGAATACTACAAGACCTTTAAAACCATTTTAACTCTATATCTATGTAATCTTTTCAATAGGGCTATATCCTCCGCTTCATTCTGTGAAGAGATGCTTCAGGCAATTATTGCTGCCCTACCTAAACCAGGAAAGAAGCTGGACAACCCACAAATCTTTAGGCCCATATCTCTTCTTAATACAGACCTAAAACTCTACACTAAGATATTAGCTAACAGATTAGCAGATATTACCCCCCATTTGGTCAAAGTGGATAAACTAAGCTTCGTGAGAGGCCAACAAACACCAGACGGAACCCATAGAATGTTTGATCTTCTTAAATTTGTAGAGAATTGTAAATTGCTCACAGTCTTTTTAACATTAGATGCTGAAAAGGCATTTGATCTGCTTCATTGGGGCTATTTAAAGGTAACCCTAAATAAATTTGGTTTCTTTGGAGCTATCTTCTCGGCGATTTCTGCTCTATATACAGATCCCACAGCAGGAGTATATACGTCAAACGCTTTGTCTAATACATTTTTGATAACTAATGGTACCCGTCAAGGGTGCCTATTATCCCCATTCATTTTCATGTTGGTAATGGAACCATTAGCGGAACTCATTAGAACGGATAGTCAAATGCAGGGTATTTTGGTTGCTGAAAGGTTCACAAAATTGGACTTTTCGCTGATGATGTGGTACTTACCTTGGCAAACCTGTCTTCTTCCCTGGAGAAAGTGAATCAAGTATTAAATGCATTTGGCAGAGTTTCCTATTATAAACTTAATATTTTTAAATCCTCTATTTTACCCATATTTATCTCTTCTGCCTATTTAAAGGCATTAAAACAACATTACCCCTTTCAATGGGTCACTAAGAATCTTAACTACATAGGTCAGCGGTCACTAAATGGCGGGCTGTGATCCAAGAACAGCCCGAGCAGCGCTCCCGCCTGGACTGCAAGCCCGCAAGACTAGAATGGCAGATCCGCTGCTCAGCAGGGCGGTCGTCCCAGCAACTGATGACATCACGCATGCACCCGGCCCCTTGCAGCTCACTGTCTCTCACGGTTCCCGCTCTCTGCCTGTCCACAAGCGTGCACCCCGCCCCCTTCAGCAAGGATCCTGGCAAGCTCCTGTCTGCACTCAAAGTAGGGTGTGCTCTTTCTGGGGGACCTTGACGGGCACATTTATATTAAGGGGCACTATGATGGGCACATTTACTGTCAAAGAGTAATGCTGATGGGCACATTTAATGTTAAGGGGCACTCTGATGGGCATAACATAAAATGTGCCCCTCAGAGTGCCCCTTAGCATAAAATGTGCCCATCAGAGTGAACCTTAACATAAAATGTGCCCACCAGAGTGCCCCTTAATATAAATATGCCCATCAGAGTGCCCCTTAACATAAAATGTGCACATCAGCATGCCACATATTTTATGTTAAGGGGCACTCTGATGGGCACGTTTTATGCTAAGGGACACTCTGATCAGCATCTTTTATGTTAATGGTGCACTCTGATGGGCACATGTTATGTTGAGGGGGCACATATGGGCACATACTGTGGAAAGGGGCACTCTGATGTGCACATGTGATGGAAAGGGGCACTCTGATGGGGAGTATGATGATGTAAAGGGGCACTCTATTGGGGAAATGATGGAAAGAGGTACTTTGAGTGTAAGGAGGCACTCTGATAGCAATACCTGATGTAAGGTGGCAATGTGATGGGGACACCTGATGTAAAGGGGCACTCTGATGGGCACACCTGATGAGATGGGGATACATGATGTAAAGTTGCACCCTGATGGCGACACCTAATGCAAGGGGGCACGCTGATGGGCACACCGTATGTAAGGTTTCACCGTGATAGGGGAACCTTATATAATGGCGCACTCTAATGGGGACAACTGATGTAAGGGGGCACACTGACGGGAGACACCAAATGTAAGGGGGCCTTCTGATGCAGAAACCTGAGGTAAAGGGGCACTCTGATGGGAATGCCAGATGTAAGGAAGCACTCTAATGGGAATGTTTGATGTAAGGGGGCACTTTGATAAGAATGCCTGATGTAAGAGGGCATTCTGATGGAAATGCCAGATGTATGGGGGGCACTCTGGTGGGAACACATTACTTAAGGGGGCACTCTGATGGGAACACCTCATATAGGGGGGTACTCTGACGGTGGCAATGGATTTATGGGGAAAGTCTGATGGTGGCACCCAATGTAATAAATTACTCTGGAGGGGAACATGATGTAAGGGGGAACCTTAATGGGGACATTTATTTTCGGACCTCAGACAGAAGAAGATTTTAGTGACCGGATCTTCTTGAATTTTAATTCAATACCCCTGATCTAAGTGTTACATTATCTTACCCCACTTCCACTACATATGACAGTAATTTCCCGACTGTACTCTCTACTATAAAAACTGATTTAAATCATATTTCTTCTCACAAATTATCTTGGCTAGGGAAGGTAGCGGCTTGGAAAATGATGCTTTTACCTAAAATTATTTACTTCTTTCATACTATTCATATATGCTTACCAGAAGCCTTTTTCTCTACAGTTGAAAACATGTTTAGAGCATTTTTATGGGGAGATAGAATGGCTACACTTTAATTTCCTATACTACTTAAACATAAGGGGGGATAGGTTTTCCAGATATACAGTACGTAAATATCACCAATCAGCTCTATTAGATCAAATGAAAGCTTGGTTTAATCAAAATACAGAACAACTATGGGTCCACATAGAAATTGTAATAGTTTCCCAAACAGACCTACCTTCACTTTTGATAGCAAAATCAACTCAGAGACCCCTATTCTCTCTTTTCCATCGATAGATGCTACTCTGGCTGCCTGGAATGCTCTGCTTATGCTTTGTACACCTAGTACACCAATATCATATATGGAGCTTCCACTTACAGCTTATGAATTTCTTATACCCACACTGAAGGTAAATACGGAGCATTACAAGTTGATCAAAACATATAAAGAATTCCCACTACAAAGATATAGAACACCACCCTACTCTGATCTCCAATTACACCATATTAATACCCAATGCAGACTACATTCAGATATTTGGAAATACTTATCTAATATGTCCAATAAACCTAAAGACCTTTCCTGGCTCTATAGAACTTTACAGTTCAGATGAGATCCTACCAAAACCTCCAATATGGTTAGCTGGGAAAGGAACTTTGGTATAACTTTCACCGTACTAGAGTGGACTACAGCAATGCAATACACCTATAGATACTCTCATTGTGTCAATCATTGGGATAACTACATAAAACTACTCTATAGAACTTACCTAACCCCTGCAAGGATATCGAAAATATTTAAAGATGCATCTAATCTTTGTTGGAGAGATTGTGGATCTAAAGGGTCATTGTTTCATATTATGTGGGAATGTAAAAGTCTGAGAGGTTTTTGGAATTCAGTGTTCACATTGCTAGCATCCATAACACGGGATCTACTCTCGGCAACACCCACTTTAGCATTGCTTAACCTTACAATGAATAAACTACCTATACAATTTAGGTGTATAGTTGTAAATATACTTATAGCAGCTCGGCTTACAATTACCTCAAAGCGGAAGACTTCCAATGCACCCACTTTATCAGAAGTGATATATAGGGTTATGTCCCAATATCTATATGAAAAATATTTTGCACATACTATACATTCCATCACTCAATTTAGAGATAGATGGCAGCCATGTGTTGCAAAATATCCAGACACTACTTTTTCAAAAAGCATTTTCTTATAAAAAAAACATCTTGAGTGACGAAACTTGTTAACAATCTTGACGGTGACAATAGTTCTCTTTTTTTTGTTGTTGTTATTCTATTATAAAGTTTATGTTTTTTATGGTTGATAGCATTGACATATGATTTATCGAACCTTTGGAGTTATAGTGTATACAAATGCGGTTTATTTTAGATTGTATACTTTAATACTGTATTTCCTTAATATCTTTACTATGCAACTTAAAGGATAAGTTCACCTTTGGAACATGTTCCACCCGTTTTTAACATATTCCCATAGCCGCAGCTGGCACCCCCCCCCCCCCCTCCCTCTGACAGATAATACAGGGAGAAGTCTCCCTGTACTATCCGCCAGATTTGAAAACAGCGTAGTAGTGTGGGGCAGAGTTCTGTGAATGAGTGCCTATAAGTCCCAGCTGCCTTAGCGGCTGTCAGCTTGTAGTTTTCAATGAACTATTACGGTGCTGTGGAGCGTCGTGGTAGTTCATTGAAGCTTCCTGTCAGAATATCTACTTGGCCATACATCCCCGTGCATGGCATCAGCGATCTATTGATCGCTGGGGCAATACTTTCCTGTAGACAAAAATAATAAATGCACATTTTTTTACCTGCAAAAAAAAGTGCATTTATTATTTTTGCCAAAAAGGTCAACTTATCTTTTAAGATGTTCTCTGTGTAACTATACTTTACAAATTTCAATAAAAAATAATTGAATAGAAATGACAATGTTGCGTGACAAACAGCTCCTGCCAGTTGTGGATGGCATGCATCTGCTGCATAGGATTTTGCGGTTCATAAGACAAATGGGTGGCAGCAAAGGGTCTGTAGCAGGATGCAGGGGGCTAGGCACTGGCAACACCTTGTGCCCCACCTGGGGTATAACTTGTTCTTCCCCTGGGTTAAAGAATACGTTCACCTTTAGGCGCATGTTACATGTTACACCCATATTTAGGGTGAAACAGTAACATGCTCCTATGCACCCACCTGCTGCCGCCAGTGCTTTTCTCTCTGTGACAGTGGTTGGGGGATCCTGTCCCCACACCTGTTGTCACAACTCAAAAACAATGAAGCCATGTGGGGCTCTGTCCACAAGGTTGTGTCATTTATTCAGTTTTTTGTGAATGAATAAACTACAAACAGGGGCGGACTGACCATTTGGAAACTCGGGCACTGCCCGAGGGTCCAGGGTCAGTAGGGGGCCCCATGAGATGCCCCTGGAACCTTTTTCATTGGTTTTTTTGAGTTTGGGCAAGGACACAGGGGCCCCATGATCCCCTATTGTCTGGGGGCCCCATGAGTCGTCAGTTTGCCCTTGACTACAAATACCATCTACCATTGCAGCAGACGGCTTTTAGTTTGAGGGTGCTCTTTAAAAGCTGTATACAAGACTCTTCACATTTTATTTATGCCACAGCAGAGGTGGACCAAAAATGGGTTAATTAAGGAAAGATGGTAATTTGAATCCTGGATAGTTAGTCCCTCATAGTCCTGATGAAGTTCACAAGACATGAACAAAATGCACTTACACGCCGTCCCAGCAGCTGAGACCTTGCTCAGGTGTCTGCCTTAGGATAGGAAGGAGGCAATTCTAGTAACCCTGATGGCTACCCTCAGGAGATTAAGGCCTTGATCACTCCATACGTGCAGAGAAACTGATGCACAGATTTCACTTGCAGAGACATCAGTTTACATCAGTTTTCATGTGCGCTTCTATGAGTTTTATACATATTGATATTAGTGTTGTGATGTGAATAGGGCACATAGAGAACAATTGATTTTGTTGAGCCCTTGAAGAACGTGTGCAGAAGAACTAATGTCTCTTCACCATGGTGTGAATGAACCTTAAGATTAAAACGGAATATCATGATGGATTTATAGCTAACCGCATGGGTCTCATGTCAAAGTTGGTTCCTAAAACCCTCTGCAGTCAACAGACAATAAGACCCTGATTTACTAATGTGCCTAGGCGCATTTCCGTGGGCTAGCATCTACTTTTAATAGCGACCGTCTACTTTTAGACGGCAAAGACATTTACTAAAGAAAGCGTCAACAAGTAGACGTGAAATCGAATTTACTAACCAGGCACAATCCAGGAATCAGTCTCAAAAAGCAGACTTGCTAAGAAGCACGTCTAACACCATGAAAAATCACTGCAGAGACATGTTCACATTGAAATTTGCTTTCCCAAATATCTGGACTTCACTTTAAACAATATCTGACATTTCAAAAAAAAATTTAAATGTGTAAAAAATAGTTTTTTAAAGGAAGCCATGACAGTGAAGAACTAGACACTTTTCCAGCATCTATGGAAAGATATACAGTTGTGTTCAAAATAATAGCAGTCAGACATCACTAACCTGATCAATCACTGTTTTTGGTAGAAATTATATTTCTACATGGCAAATAATTTACTAGCAGGTGTAGTAGAGTAATAGAAATCCAACAGACCCAACAGTCATGACATGCATGCTGCTGATTCTGTGTAATTGAATCACTAATTGAAAGGGGCATGTTCAAAATAATAGCAGTGTGGAGTTCTATTAGTGAGGTCATTCATTCTTTGAAAAACAGGTGGCAATTATTGCCCTTATTTAAGGAAGAAAGGTGGCAAATGTTGACGTGCTGGTTACAGTGCATTTCTCTCTGAAATTCTGAGGAAAATGGGTCATTCCAGACATTGTTCAGAAGAACAGTGTACTTTGATTAAAACGTTGATTGGAGAGGGGAAAACATATAAAGAAGTGCAGAAAATGATAGGCTGCTCAGCTAAAATGATCGCAAATGCTTTAAAATGGCAACCAAAACCTGAAAGACGTGGAAGAAAGCGAAAAACTACCATTCGAATGGATAGAAGAATAGCCAAAATGGCAAGGACTCAGCCAACAATCAGCTCCAGGAAGATCAAAGAAGGTCTAAAGTTACCTGTGAGTACTGTTACAATTAGAAGACGCCTATGTGAAGCCAAGCTATCTGCAAGAAGCCCCCGCAAAGTCCCACTGTTGAAAAAAAGATGTACTGAAGAGGTTACAATTTACCAAAGAGCACATTGACTTGCCTAAAGAGAAATGGCGCAACATTTTGTTGACTGATGAAAGTAAGATTGTTCTTTTTGGGTCTAGTGGCCGGAGACAGTTTGTCAGGTGACCCCCAAACGCTGAATTCAAGCCACAGTACATTGTGAAGACAATGAAGCATGGTTGTGAAGACAAGTATCATGATATGGGGATGTTTCTCATACTA